ACGTAGCACCTCCAGGCTCCGCACCCCCAGGCTCCGCACCCCCAGGCTCAGCACCCCCAGGCTCCGTACCCCCAGGCTCAGTACCCCCAGGCTCCGCACCTCCAGGCCCAGCACCCCCAGACTCAGCACTCCCAGGCTCAGCACCCCCAGACGCAGGACGCGAGTCAACAGCTACCTTGACAGGCTCACCCGGGTCTACCTGGGACACACCTGAGGGAGCGGCACCCTGAGGGGGGAGGGGGTCGGGTACCTCAGCACCTGGAGCGAGGAAGAGCGGCGGAGGGGGGAGGGGGGCAGTGCGGTAGGGGAAGAGGCGGTAGAAGGGGACGGACTCGTCAAAAGTGACGTCCTGAGAGGCCAGAACCCGGCGCGAGGTGACGTGGTAAAACTGCCATCCAGGCGCGTCGGGAACAAAGCCAAGGAAGACACAGGGAAGAGCGCGACGGGAGAGCTTGTCCACAGACGTGTCGCGGACAAAAGCTCGGGATCCCCACACCCGGAAACGCGACGCATCGCCAACCTCTCCCGTCCACCGCAGAGTCGGGGAAGTCTCCGGCACGGAGACACGGGGCCAGAGGTTGAGCTGATGCGCAGCGTACCGGACCGCAAACGGCCACAGAAAGTGGGGAGCAGCCGCATGGGTCAGGGAGGTACGAGCGACCTCCATGACTAAGCCAATGCGGCGCTCAGCAACCCCATTCTGCTGTGGAGAGGCCGGAAGCGTGTACGACTGCTCAATGCCGTGCTCAGCACAGTAGGCTGCCAAGAGGTCGGAGGCAAACTCACCACCTCTGTCAGAGTGCAAGCGCAGGACAGGAAAGTCCGAGTGAAAGCGCTCGCCTAGCTGGAGACGGGCTCGGCTGATCCAGGGGATCAAAACACCAGGGACGTCACCCTTGGCGCGCAAGGGGAAGACCGTGGTGTAGCGCGAGTAGTCGTCAACAACTATCAGGAAGTACCTCTCCTGACCCTGACCACGGACGCGGGCTGGGCCCCACACGTCCATGTGGAGCGTCTGCAGGGGAGCGGTCGTCGGGGGAAAGGAGGAGGAGTGAGGAGCGGCGCGCTGCCGCCCCTCGACACAGGGTATGCAGTCAGGAGCAGGGGAGTCAGGAAGGGGAGGGAGCACCCTGGGAAGACCAGCAACAAGGTCCTGTTTGTGCATGGCCCGCAGGCGCTGCACAGACGGGTGACCAAGGCGGTGGTGCCAGAGGACGGTGTCGTTCGCCAGAGAGCGACACGAGCAGGGGGCGGACAGCTGACCTGACGCTGACGCAGACGCAGCTACCTGAGGGGACTCAGTGGTCAGTGTGTACAGGTCAGACCCCGGCTCTCGAGTGAAAGTAGCTAGGTGGCGGCCCGTCCGAGCACACGTGCAGTGAGTCACACGCTCGTAGGCAGGGGTGAACTGGTGAACACCCCCGTCCTGGAGCGCACTACCTGCCACCAAGTTCGTGGAGAACGAGGGGAGGTAGAGACCTGAGAGCGTGCCGGACGGAACCGCTGGACACGGAAGGGTGGTGGAGGAGGTCGCAAGGACCGGACCCCCAGAGGGGTCAGCAAGAGAGACAGCAACCGGCCGAGCTAGAGGCTCAAGGACAGTGCGGTCACGAAAGAAAGAGCGAGAAGCACCTGAGTCCAGTGTGAAGGTGTGCAGTGCTGCAGTCGACTCAGTACCAGGGGGCACAGACGCACAAGCACCTAGAGCAGCAGCTGCAGTAGTACCTGTGGAAGCAGACACACTAGCACCTAGAGCAGCAGCGGGGCTGGCCTGAATGCCCGGGTCGGGCGGAACACGCAAGTACTGAGCACCCTCTCCACTAATAGACATCGCATACATGGCAGTGAGAATAGCATCAAAGTCCAGTGCCCAAATATCAACACCCTTCCTGAGCAGCTCAGCCCAGCGCGGCAGCTCACCCCCACCAGGAAACTGGGTGCGCCACGCATCGTTGAGGCGGGCGAAGCAGCGCTCCGTCTGGTGCGGCCCCCCACACGTCTGGCCAGTGCGGTCACCTGTACGAATAACGTACTGGCAGGTGACGCTGCGCCGCGCATACCACTCACGGGCGGCCTGAAGGGTCGGGGCAGGCTGCTGACTCTGACCGCCCCCCGGGCCTCCACGACCACCACCCCCTCCGCCTCCGCCCCGGCCACCTCCACCCCTGCCGCTGCCACGACCACCTCCGCCTCCGCTGCCACCTCCGCCCCTGTCACCACTCCCAACGCCGCTGTCACCTCCACCACTGCCGCCACTAGCCTCTCCAGTCGCACCTCCACCGCCACCACCTCCACCCCCGCCTCCTCCGCCACCACCCCCACTCCTGCCACTCCTGCCCCTGCGTCGTCCGCCTGAAGCAGACGCAGCTCCGACCTTCTCAGCACCAAGGAGGTCGACAGCAGCAGCAGAGGCGACAGAGGGGAGGAGGGGGGAAGGGGAGCACCCCTCGAAGAAGGGGCCGCGGGGGTCGCCACGAGAGGTGCCTACAGCGACGATACTAGCCTCGGCTGCAAGCAGTTCCTTCTCGAGGAGGTCTACGGTGAGCTCAGTGGGGGAGCGAGAGAGGAACTGGTCCCTGACAGGGCGCAGAGAGTCAGGGAGGCGGGTGACAACGTGGTAGAGAGTGATCCAGAGCGGGGGGGGGTTGCTAGCGAGGAACTCGTCAGGCATGGCAGCGCGAAAGCGAGCCTCACTAGTCTTAAGGTGGGTGATGAGGTCTGCAACAGTGTGAAAGGAGGCTAGGTCGGGGAACAGGTAGGGGAGAGTGAGGCGGCCTAGCGTGGCAGAAGCGGGTGAGGAGTAGCGGGCCACTACAGCTGTGTAGAGGTCCTTAGCAGTCTTGCACTGGCCGAAGTGCTCGCGCTCATCTAGCGGCAGGGAGTTGCGAATAGCAAAGCGAGCGTGCGCGTCACGGGTCTGCCACTGTGAGCGCTCAGCTGGGGGGGCAGTAGCGAGTGGGGCGGTCGCATGGCCGAGAGCGTGGTCGTACAGTGTAATATCTTCCTTGGCAGTGAGCTGTAGGAAAAGGTGCAGGTCATCTAGCCAGGTTTCGAATTTGACCGGACGGCCCTCGGCGTCGAAAGCTAGAACAGGAGGACTAGCCATAGCGACAGCGGCAGTAGTAGAAGCAGTAAAGTCACTGAAAAGGCGTGCGCAGGGTCAGCGGGGCCGGTGGGGCCTACGGACTGTAGTGGCGCACAAGCAGCAGTAGCAGGAAGTGTAGTAGTAGGATCTGCAGTGGTGCACAGGCGCAGCAGGCGGCAGCGAGAGCCGGCGCAGCAGGGGCGGGCTCAGCAGCGGTGATACGCGGGCGGCGGCGGGCGCAGCAGCGGCGGTGCGCGGGCGGCGGCGGGCTCAGCAGCGGCGGTGCGCGGGCGGCTGCGGGCTCAGCAGCGGCGGGCCGGGAGCAGGCAGCGCGCGGGCCGTGCGGGCCGTATATGAGCTGTGCGGGCAGCGTGCGGGCCGGCGGCGGTCAGCGCACGAGCCGCGCAGGCTCAGCGCGGGCTGCGCGGGCTGCTCGCGGGCTGCGTAAGCGGGTCGCGGGCGGCTCGCGGGGGTTCGCGGGCAGGTCGCGGGCTGCTCGCGGGCAGTTCGCGGGCTGTGCGCGGGCTGCGCGGGCTGGTCGCGGGCTGCGCAGGCGGTTCGCGGGCTGTGCGTGGGCGGTTCGCGGGCTGTGAGCGCGGCGCGCTGTGCGGTTCGCGGGCGGCGTGACGGGGCCGATCGGGGCGCTAAGGGGCGACGCGACGGGGGCCGTGAGAGGCCGCTAGGAAAAAAAAGTTCGACGGGGCCGCAGGGCCGCTAGATCGTGCTAGATCGACGGGGCCAGCGGGGCCGGAAACAAGCGAAGGTAAGCAGGTAGGTAAGTCGGTGGGCCCTAAGAACAGTCCTAGCGAAGGACCTGCTCTGAAACCATGTCAGAAATAACTGAGCAGGAATGGAATGAACTAGCACAGAGTTTGGTACAAGTAGGAAACCCTAACTTTGAGTACCCCCTAAGGTGTAACCCACTACAGCCTACATAATATAAACATGCAATGTTTGACATATACTACCACACATCGTCATGAGCTATTACCGCAAATGACTAGAAAACATTTAGGCTATCATTCACTAGATTTACATCTTTTTTGTTTTTTTTTTTTTTTTTCAATTATAGGCGATGAAAAAAAATGTACATAACGAATGCAATAGGTTGCTTCGCAACCCAAAAAAGGGGGGGGGAAGGGGGGGAGAAAGAGAGAGAGTGAAAGAGAGAGAGGAAAAGGAAGGGACTTGACAACACCATGGAAACAATGCACCGAGGGTGCAAAGGTGTTTTCTTTCACACCTTGAGCGAGGGAACCAGGACCAACGAGTATCCTACTCTGGTGAAGCTTCAAAAAAAAAAAAAAAAAAAAAAAAAAAAAAAAAAAAAAAAAAAAAACCAAGAGGGGCGAGAAAGAAGAGAGTCAAAAGTGACAGACAAACTTGGACATGGCACGAACGGAGCCCGTGATTGCCAAAAAAAAAAAAAAAAAAAAAAGATAGAGGGCAAGGAGGTGAAGGGGAGCGCGAGCCTCTGCAATTCATACCCCCCCTGTGCCAAAAAAAAAAAAAAAAAAAAAAAAAAAAAAAAAAAACGGATAAGGGGAGCGAGAAAGGGAGCAAACACAAATGAAGGCGAGTTAAAAAGAGACCAAGCCTACCAAGAGAGAGCGCTTAGTCAAGCATTATGGGAAGCGTCACGACTCGCATGGGTCCGCAAGCTTGTCGTTGCTCTCACCCTCACCTCTTCTCTAGCATTTTTGTCGGTCTCATACAAGCGTGAGGGAAGCTGACTAGTGTGGCGCACATTCACGTCATTTACAATGCCCACTAGACCATTTCTTCCTTATTTTGGTATTGTCTGCACATGGTATCTTGTGGTTCGAACCGAAAGGGTTGACACGCCACTCTTGTTGCCCAAACAAACCACTTGGCAGGCCCGTATTCCTCACGACTGGGTGAATGGAGTAAACCTATGGAGCACGCGATCACCGACAAGGAAGTAACCACAATGGGGGGTCGACTACGCCAAGCTTTCGCTTGGTGGGCCTCATGGTGCGAGAGTAGTCTCATCCTGTCGGTCATATCTAATGGATACTGGCTCCCCTGGAAAGCTTTGCCACCACCGTCGTTTCGCGACAAGAACCATGCCGGTGTGGAGCGGCACAACGAGTTCACACGATCCGCAATTTCGGACTTGCTCTCATCCGGTGCAGCAGCAATCGCAGTCGGCCCAAATGCCGTGGTATGTACTAGTCCACTCAACGTCGTGGAGCAACGTGACAAGTGTCGCCTCATCTTGGACTTGAGGAAAGTCAATCAGCACCTCTTCATCCCAAAATTCAAGTACGAAGGCTTGGTTCGAGTCGCCGAGTTGGCACAACCTGGCGACTGGATGTTCTCAATCGACCTGAAGTCTGGATACCACCACATTGATATTCACCCATCCTGCTGGAAGTTCCTCGGTTTTCACTTCGATGGCACGGACTACTACTTCAAGTCGTTACCGTTCGGCCTCGCAACGGCACCCTTCCTTTTCACTCAGTTGATCAAACAACTGGCTCGAAGATGGCGAGCGCAAGGTACCCGAGTCATTCCCTATGTGGATGACATCTTATTTCTCTGCAGTTCGGAGAAGGACGCATGCACGATACGTGAGGCAATCATTCGCGACCTACGACGGTCGGGCCTTGTCATCAACGCAAAAAATTCGCACCTCATTCCGATCCAGAAACTGCGATTTCTGGGGATGGAGTTGGACACTCAATCCGGGAGATTCACCATCGGTCCCGAACGTCGGGAACAACTCATGCACACGCTACGGGTGCTCCTCACCGCTTTCGAGCGTCGACAACGGATACCAATCCGCCAAGTTGCACGGGTCACCGGCATTCTCGCTTCCATGGCGCTCGGCCTTGGTACAACAGCACGCGCATTCAGTCATCAACTCCTAGAGCTCATCAACGCAGCACCATCATGGAATGCCAGGATACACCTAACCCCAGAGGCTCGCGACGAGCTCGACTTCTGGCTTCAAAACTTCGATCGCTTTAACGGGGCACCGTTTCACATGCCCCACAGTATCGACTCAGTGATTCACGTCGACGCAAGTGCTCATAGTTGGGGTGCGACCCTAGCTTCCTTCCCAAGTAAAAACCTGCAAGGCAGCAGCCCGATGCCATACGAGCTCCTTACCACTTCAAGCACACGTCGAGAGCTCGAAGGTGTGCTCTGGGCCCTGCGTACATTCTCCAATCAAATTAAGGGCCGCCATGTGCTTATGCGAGCCGACAACCAAGGCGTATTCTTCATTCTTCGTAAAGGCGGTTCCGGGAAACCCGAGCTCACCCTCCTGTGCAAGTTCATCATCGCTCACTGCATGGCGAACGAAATCCGGCTGGCAATCGAATGGATCCCTCGTGCACTCAACATGGAGGCAGACGCACTTTCCAAGTTGGAAGATAACGACGACTACTCGCTGAAACTCCCTTGGTTCTCGTTGCTGGAGAGGCGTTGGGGACCCCACACCGTCGACCTGTTTGCCAATGCCAATAATGCGCAACTCTCGCGCTTCTTTTCAAAGGTTCCCCACCCACACTCAACGGCCGTCAATGCCTTCTCGCAAGACTGGGGAGCAGAACACGGATTTGCTTTCCCCCCTCCACACCTGATCCCCGCCACCTTGCGTCACGCAAAGCGCACCTCTGCCTCTCTGACGTTAGTCATTCCCGAATGGACGGGAGCGTCATGGTGGCCCTTGCTCCGGCCATCACCAAAGGCTTGGGCATCAGGAATAACATCGTGTCTACATCTTGCTAGCGGTAGCCAGTGTCTGCATGTTGGTTCGCACACCGGCGCATTCTCAGGAGCTGGTCTCCCTGTTAGCAGAATCCTCGCACTTCAACTGAAATTCAATCATTGATGTACCGTTCATGTTTTTTCTTTATGATGACAGATCTGATCCCGAAGCTGCATCAACAGCTACTCCTAATGACAGCCCAGACACGGTCCGACTCGACAATCCACACATACGAACCTTACTGGGAGAAGTTTAGGAATTTTTGCGTCAAAGCGAAAGTGGCATTTCTTCCCGCTGCGGACCTAACAGTAGCACTCTACCTCGTACATGCGATCAACCACAAGGCGACCGTCTCTAGCGTGCAGCTCACCTGTGCCGCGATCAGCTTCGCCCATAGGATGACAGGCTCCGCCAACCCAACATGGGTCCCTTTCACGACACAAGTGCGCGATTACGTCAAAAGACACTGCCCCCGACCAGCACGGGTGAAGGAACCCGTCTCCCTTCATCAGGTCCACGCGATGGCTAGGCCTTTTCTCCAATCGAGCCAACCGGGCATCTATCAGAAAGGCCTCATCGTACTGCTCATGTACGCTGCATTCCTGCGTTTCTCAGATCTAGTGGCAATCCAATGGGAGGACATCCGATTTGAGGCAACGGCAATGTGGCTTCTGATCCCACACTCGAAGACAGACCAGGAAGGCAAGGGCGTGTGGGTCCCCGTCGCTACGTCGGATGGACCGCTCTGCCCGGTGCGGTGCACCCGCCATTTCATCAGGCTAGCGGAATACGGGCCGACAACCAGAGGGCCGCTAATACGTATCTTCCGCCGCAATGCACCGCCGTCCCCATTAGATAAAGCCCCATCATACCCCACAATCCGTGCATGGTGCATGCAGGCATTCGAAGCCGCAGGAATCGACCCAACGCACCTCGGCACCCACTCTTTTCGCAAAGGAGCAGCCACCGTCGCAGCCAGTGCGAGAGTCCCGGATCGCATCTTCAAACGCCTTGGGCGCTGGCGAAGCGAAACAGCAAAGGACCTATACGTGACTATCTCGCAGGATCATCTTATTGCAGCATCTCGTAACATTCAGGATCAAGCTCACGCACCGTCCCCCTCACAGCATCATCACGCCATCACGAGGCACCGTCAACCTTCTCTCCACATGTCTCAGAGGATCCAGTTGAAATGAGACGTTGCATTTGCAAGGCAAATCGCAAGCTTTCACAATATGTAAATTTTTTAAAGTGTGCAACACTTTTCAAAATTGTGTATTGTGAATAGCGAAGCGAGTTGTACCGAAGCAAAGGCTTCGGCGAACCGCTACTTCCCCTCTTTTTGGTACAAAAGAGGGGGCGAAGGCCATTTGGCCTTCACCCACGTTTTCATTTCGAACTTTCAATTTCAAGTTTCCCACCCTCCCACCCTAGCATAACGTACATGATAGCTCTGAATGTTGTATGATGCTTGGACGATAAAATCTTGTACTTGCCAGTTGAAATGAGACGTTGCATTTGCAAGGCAAATCGCAAGCTTTCACAATCAGGTCGCATAGGTGTAGGAGAAGAAGACGACGTTCGAGCGAGGTCCACGGAAATAATGGTCAAATCATACGGCTGTCATCCATCCGTTCTGCAATCCTCCCCAATTGTGCAAACTCTTGCATACCCAATGCGTTTTGTTATGGGATGTCGACATAACATGTAATAATGTAATATAACATAACTTACCTACCTAGTAGTGTAACGGAATAAGGAAACCTAACGATATGCTTATGCATTCACACCCACATTTGCACGAGGCCCATCTCCCATCCACACCTTAATCTTCCTTCCACTCCCTTTGGACTGTGTGTCTCCATCCAGCAGAGATGCCCAAAACTTGTGCAATCCACTCTTCTTGCTCGTGCCACCGCTCCTGCTGCTGCTGCTGCTCTTGCTGCTGCTGGTATTTCATTGCTACTGCTGCCGCTGCTGCCCTTGCTGCTGTCGCTGCTGATGCTATTTGAGCTCTTATGCGCAATCATGTTGGAGGAGGCTTCAAAGGAAGCTTCTTCCAAAGGAGCCACCAGATGCCACTCCGATGCCCCAGGTGAAAGCTCAGGCAGGAAAAGCGTCGAAGCTTTAAAGGTCCTGCCTGTGCCAGCTGTCCTGCTGTCTACTGATGACATGACCCGGGCACTGATGTCACGACCTGGTGTGGCAAACGCCTGATGCTGACGTGGCATGTGCTGACGAAGATGCTGCTGCTGCTCGTTCATGGCCATTTTGGGAGCAATAAACCTAGCACTGCCTCCAAAGGTGGGAATGTGAGAGCTGAAACCGGCCTTACCAGCGGGCATAGGGTTACCAACACCTAGGACAATGTTACTCGCCCCAATGATTTCTACACCCGTGTTGCCTTCCTCAATGTAACCGCCTCCCATTCTGTTACTCGCCCCAATGATCTCTACACCCTCGATCCCTTCCTCTGCATCATTGAATTTCGCACTGTAGATGCCACTGCTGCCCCCCATATCGGCACCATCAATGTTACTGTAAAGAACGCCCGGCTGGTACAGCACCCCGCTGTGTTCCGGCACAGCAAATTTCGTTAAGGGAACGGCGCTGGAATGGACCAGCATGCCCGGAGAAGAGGAGGAGTGATGAAATTGACCCTGAGGCACACCAGGGGAGGAGGAGGAGGTGTGGTGGATTTGGCCTGGAAGCAGCGCGCCAGAGTGCCACTGGTGTGGGCTCCCAACAGTCTCTGGGAACGACGACGAGTGGTGCAAGGACGATCGGGGGAGCTCGCCGCGGGGGAGGAAGTCGTTGCTGGTCCGGGGGGATCGTTGGTGGTGGTGAGGGATGGGGAGCGGTGCAGACGGGAGCTGCGAGTGGTGCATCTGCTGCTGCGGGTTCGCCCTGGATACAAATTCCTTGCTCTGACGTCTGGGCTTCTGGCGGGACTTCGCGGGGGAGGAAGAGGCGGAAGCGGATGCGGAGGGGGAGGGGGAGGAGCGTGGGGAAGAGGATGGCCGGTGGTGGAAGCCGAGGTGGTTCAGGAGAGAGGATGAGAGGGAGCGGAGTGATGGGTGGTGGTGCTTATGGCGCGGCGAGCTTGGGGACACGCCTGAGAAGGAGGAGTGGGACGAGAGCTTGTGGTGAAGATGCTCCCCTGCTGTAGTAGCTGCTCCGTCTGTAGCGGCTCTAGAAGCAGAAGCGGAAGGGACGGCAGGTGGCAGAGGGAACGCGGCTGTAGCAGCAGCAGCAGTAGCGCCAGCAGCAGCGCGTGGGTGATGCGTGTCAGGCGCGTGGTGGGCACGTGGCTGGTTCAGAACGAGGTGCTCCGGCAGCCCGTGCGTGAGATCCAACTCCTCAATGCGGATGTTGGCCTGGTCCAGCCACGCACAGGACGCCTCCAGCTCTGTCATGAAAAAAATGGGACAATAGACGAGAAGAGGAGAAAGGAAAGGGATAGAACAGGAAAATGGGTGAGGTCGAGCTCCTCGATGCGGAAGATGGCCTGGTCCAGCCACGCGCACGGCGCCTCCAATTCTGCCAAGAGAAATGGAACAATAAACGAGAAAGAGGAAATTATAAGAGGGGACTGAACAGGGGAACGGGTGAGCGAGAACTTCTCAATGCGTATGTTGGCTTCGTACAGCCACGCGACGCGAGGTCGGCCTCCTCAATGCAGACAACTACTATCCAGTCTAATCGCACGCGGTATGCCTCAGATTTTTGCGAAAGTAGGGCATTCGGAGTGAACCCTGGGAACTCACGCATGGCGGAGCATTCCCAGGTGCAACTTCTGGTGAATCTATATTGAATATAGCACTTCTGGTGAATCTATATTGAATATAGCACTTCTGGTGAATCTATATTGAATATAGCACTTCTGGTGAATCTATATTGAATATAGCACTTCTGGTGAATCTATATTGAATATAGCACTTCTGGTGAATCTATATTGAATATAGCACTTCTGGTGATTTTTAAGGTCTCATGGCGCGCAGCTGGCCATCGGTTTTCGTCTTGGATAGCGAGTCGAGGTACGCGTCGAGATTTTCCTCCTCGCACGAAGTAGTATCAACTGAGGTTTCAGGTCAGCCGGCGAGTCGTCTCACGCCATCTCTCACACGCTTCTTTCACACGGCGGCCGTGTGTCATAACACGCACCTGTCCAGCAATTCGACTTGGATTGCGACTCGAGGTACGTATCGAGGTCCTCCTCCGCGCACGCAGTAGCTGCAAGGCAACTTTTTAGTCTATGAACCTCCACCTCGTAGTGGTATGCCAACAAGTCTCTCGCGGCGTGTTTCTCGCGGCGTCACTTTGCGGCGTGTTTCTCAACGTCGTCTTTTCCGTCGACTGTCGTTACACGCACCTGTCCATCGGGTCGACTTCGGAAGCGACTCGAGGTACGCGTCGAGATCCTCCTCCGCGCACGCCGCGTAGTCGTACTCGTTACAAGCCTCCCCGTTCTCTTGATCCTCTGGCAGCAGCGTCAGCGGCTGGAAACGGCAGTCCTTGGGAGCTCCGCCTTCCGCGACAGTGCTCGCCCCTGAGGGGGGAAAGAAGTGGAGGGGGGGGGGGGGGAGAGTAGGGATTGTACGGGAGGCTAGAACAGATTAGCAATAGACGAACTGGCAGAAGCTCCCTTCCATAACCAACGAAAGTAATCAAAAGAAGAAGAAAAAAAACAAAATCGAGAATGTTTGAAGGGTCGGTCGCTTAACGAGATTGCGCTCGTCCCTAAATGCAGGAGGATGGGAGGTGGGGAGGGGAGAGGAGGGAGGAAGGCCATCCCTCTTCTTTCACCTCTTCAGGAGCAAATTAGTTCTCCACAGAATGAAAAGTCTGAGCGATTTATCGAGCTCTTGCAATGTACCGTTACGACGCTCGAGTACGTCATGTTTAAAATGGGCGGTTCTTTATTTCGAGCGTCAGAATCGTCTGCGTATGTGGGACCGATTAAAACTCGTCGTACAGGGAGAAGAGGAGCGCAGAGCGCACATGGGACGGAATAAAAGTGGGGTGACGCTTACATCGCTCGATTTCTTTGCGCTCCGGGCACCAGCTGGTGTAGCGCGTGGAGTGAAAGTCGGCGACAGTCGTCATGGTGGCTGGCGACGATGGCTGACGACCAAGTGCGACGCGTGCGACGGTGATCCTTGGCGACGATTGGAAAGTCACACGGAATTCGAAGGCGACGCGACGGGAATCAAGCAGAAGTATCAACAAAGTCTCCCGACAGAGATGCTTTGGCGGCGCGTGAAAGCTGCGTAAAGCACTGGGACAGCAGCGCACTTCGAGGCAGTTCGAGGATGGGAGAAATCAGTATAAATGAAGATTGTGTGAGCTTCAAGTCTAAAATACTGAATCCACGATAAGTTCCAAAAGCCTTTCCACACGGAGTGGGGTGGAGCGGAGTACGGTTTTGTACCTTCTAGCAGGGTGGAAAAGAGTGGTGTGGTTTCGAATCGAACTGACTGGGGAACGCGGCGAAAAGTTTGGAGGGGAAGTGTGGGGAAAGCGAAAGTGATCAGCTCGGTTGCTGGAAAGCGGACCTCGCTCCTCCCTGCATCAGCGGCTCCAAGATTGCTGCAATCCTGCAGTGAGTCTGGGCCCCCCGTAACCAGACCAAGTGCGGGAAAGTCCAAATTTACGTTCGGAGCGCTACACCTCTAGGCGCGTCAAGCGAACGCACACACCCCCTGCCTGGTTCAGGAAAAGCCGAACCTACAAGGCTCGCTCGTCGTGACTCTTTCTGATTGCTGGCCCGGAACACCGAACCGAGAATTCACGCGGATAAGGCTCAAGCTTCGGCCTGGGCCAGGGCACACCTGCAATGAACCACCGACCGGCCAGAATTGCAAGAACGCGCAGGCAGCATTTCAACACAAGTATCTCCGAGATTCTGGGCAACGAGACTGTACATCCAGTCATGGAATTCAAGCATTGCCAGGCCTTCACCGCACTTCACAACACGAGAACACACCACACCACATCATAATCAATTGTCGCTGTAACCGTATGGAACCACAAAACGTAACATGGGGGAAATCGACAAACGAGCGCTGATTCGCCAAAACGAATAGTTTAGGACACATTTACTGGCTAGGCTATACCTCGACGGAAATCCATTGGTTAGAAATGAGCCGCCAATGCTGCCAAGTAGCATCAAATATCACAGCAGCAGTGCTCTGCGTACGGGATAGAAAGAGGCATAAATACACTCGCAAGCAATGCTCAAATGTTTGGGATGAGGCACAACTTCACATTAGTTCAATTACACGCTTCTATTGATTGTCACCAATTTGCTTCCATTGAACTCTAACTTGGTAGTGTATACATCCTATTGGGCCTCTTAGCATCTTGGCTAGCCTCCACGTCCTCAACCTTCTGTTTAGTCAACTGCACGGAAGCATCCTCCGCCAATCGCTGCGACAACTCCTCGGACTGTGAGGGGGGGCTGACCAGGCAGGCCCAGGAGGGCCTCTTGCCCTCATCACTCCGGCCTGGCCAGCCCCCCCCACAGTCTCGGCCATCAACTCTCGCAATCTCCTCAAATTGCATGAAAGAATCCTCCGCCAATCGCTGTGACAGCTCCTCAAACGGCGAGACGCTTCCTCCAGAAGCTCCCGAGAGCCGAATAAGCTCCTCTTGAGAATTCTCAAACGCAACTCCCGAGTCCCCAGTGAGCTGTTTGCTCCTCGCTCCTGCTTCGGCACAACTTTGATCACACCCATAGTATTTACTTCCTCTTACGCCTTTTGGCATCCCTCCTGGCAGTTACACTCTCCTCCATTAATTCCTTCGCAAACTGTTCAAATTGCACACAAGCATTCTCCGCCAATCGCTGCGACAGCTCCTCAAATCTTGAATTAGCATCTTGCAGCAACTCCCGAGTAAGCTCATCAAACTGAGCGCACACATTTCTCACAGCAGCACCCATGGCTGCAGTCAATCTCTCCCCCACCCTCTCACCCACCCTCTCGCCCACAACCCCTGCGCTCGGATCCGTTCCGCCTCCTGTGAGCCCCTCCGTTCCCCTCATTGCAAATCTTCCCTCATTCCGCTCCCGCTGCTCCTTTCTACCAGCCCTACCACGCAGTGAGCCGCCCCCAGCAGCCAAATTACCCGGTGCCGCTGCCGCTTGTCTGTAGGCTGCAGAAAGCTCATAACTTGTCGGCTGGAAATTTGTAGTAGCCAGGGGGGCTGTAGCAGGCAGGGCTGCTGTAGCAAGTCGAGGGGCTGTAGCGGGCAGGGGGGCTGTAGCGCCAGCAGCAAACGTAACCCTGTTACCAGGCAGGCGCAGCAGGTTGCTGCCTAATCCCCCATATCTTTGCAGGGAGTCACCATATTTTAGCCGTAAGTCAAATATCGGGTTTGTAGCGGTGGGAACAGCGGTGACTTTGCTGCAAAGACTCATTAGGTAGTTGTCAGGGAGTTGCCTCGAGTCAGAAGGTTTCCCCTCAGCAGGTGCAAAGGGAGAGACTCTGGCCCGCGCTGCTGCTGTTATAGCGTGAGGCGCGGATTGCGAAGGCAATGGTAGTAATGGTAATGGTGATGGTGATGGTAGTGGAAATGGTAACCGTAACGGTGGGGGTAACGGCAATGGTGGTGGTAACGGTAATGGTGATCGAGGGGGCCCGTTGCTTCCCTGCTGCTGTTGTTGCTGCTGCTGTTGCTGCTGCTGCTGTTGTTGCTGCTGCTGCTGCCACTGCACTTGCTGTCCCTGCTGCTGCTGCTGTCCCTGCTGCTGCTGATGGTTTTGCTCCTGCTGCGGCGGCTGCTGCTCCCGCCGCTGCCCACCAGCCTCTCCCCACCCTAAACCAATGCTCTCAGGAAACGCATACGCTGGCATTTCAGCAGGCTGTTTCGGTGCAGTAAAGGCCGTAGCGACAACAGCTGCTGCTGACGCTCTAGCTGCTCTTCTAGTCCTTTTCACAGCAACGTCTCTCCTCGCCTGCAGCTCAGTCCGGTAGAACATGCGAATGTATTCAAACCACGCCGGTTGAGCTTGAATGTGCTCATTCCACCCATTCCTCTCGAATGTGCTCCCCCCTGCTACGGGTCGCTCATCCACGTTAGTAGACCCTCCCTGCCGCTGCTGAACCGACGCCCCCGCCTGCTGCTCCGCGCCCCCTGCCTGCTGCTCCGCGCTCTCCGCCTGCTGTCCTCCCGCGCCCCCTGCCCGCTGCTCTGCGTCCCTCGCCTGCTGCCCCGCGCCACCTCTCTGCTCCGCGTCCCCCCCCAGCTGCTCCGCGTTCCCCGTATGCTGCCCCGCGCCCCCCGCCAGCTGCTCCGCGCCCGCCCTCCCATTTGCGGGACACCGCCCCGTCCCCCGCCGCCGCTGCCGCTTCCGCCGCGGGTCGAGCGTCTCCGCGTCGTATCGCGATTTCATGCGCTTCCACTGCTGCGACATCGCCGTCGGGATGCGCCGCCATTCGGGATTCCCCCGCCGGATCACGCGCCACACCTGCCGCCAGTAAGCGTTCCCCCTGCTGCCTCTCCGCCACGTGACTTCCCCGCTGCGCCGGCAGAAAACGACAGCCGCTGCGAGCTCCATCAGCTCCGCGTTGCTCCACTGCCGCATCTTCCGCGCCGCGAGCTCCGTTACTTCCTCCCCTTCCGTTTTGCCTGCCCGGATTTCGTGCCATGGGACTCCGAAACCCCGTTCCTCCACGCGATCCGGTTCCCCCACACGACCCGCTTCGGCCTCTGCATCGGTTTCCCACTCTCGATCCGTTTCTCCGTCTCGAACCGTGTCGTCCGTTAAGTCAAACGGCCTTCCTAGCAGCCCTCTGCGGTACTCGTCGATATCGTACGAGTCGCCCGACTCGCCGTCGTTTTCGGCGTCGCTTTCGCCATCGTCGCCGCCGTCGCCGTAGTCGTCGCCAAAGTCGTCGCCGAAGTTGTCGTTAGCGTCGCTGTCGTCGTTTTCGCCGGCATCGTAACGGGTCAAGGCGGCAGCGTGGTGCTCCTTGATCCACCGAATAAACGGCGGGTCGGGTGTTTTGAGTCGACGCAAAACTAGGCTCATCACACACGGATTTTTTTGCTGAGAGAATTTCTGTTGCTTGGACGATTGGGTGTAGCTTTTGAGTCGACTCAAAAAAAGCGTGCTGCTCCTTGATCCATCGAAAAAACGGCGGGTCGGGTGTTGGAATTGACGCCTGATCGACTTCCGTGCCGGCCTGGCCTGGTATGCCGTTAGCTCCCCGCTTTCTGGAATACATAAACTGGTTCAGAACAGGAAAGGCGAGAAGCAACGGTTGCCCAGGCGAGACGGAAACTGTACTAGCTGGCTGGAGGAGTTACGGATTCCTGTTGCGGAGAAAATACCCGTCAGCGAACTAGGTGGAGAGGATACTGGGTGGAGTCACACGCCTTAGTATCCGCTTTACAAGAGCAAGTGGGCAACACCTAGGGTCAACCTGATGTAAGGTTTGACCCTACCCGTGAGGGAAATCGAATATACACACGATGCCCGGTTGAGCCCCCCGACCTTGCCTCTCTCTCTGGGCACTTAAGTAATTTGGGCATTTCGTCTTGGATTTCATCAATTCGCACTTAGCAAAAAGGGCTTATAAAAGGGCAGATGAATATTTGTTAATCAGCGTTGGCAGTTTGACTTCGGTCGACTTCAGTTTCTGTGGTTAGTATTGCTCGGGGTGCTTGTAAAGGGGGTGCAACTGGCTGGCGCAAAATACATGTGCGCAGAGTTTCCGCTGCGTCTAGGCAAATTCGCGTGCAGGGGCTGGGCATCATGTGTAGTGTACTGTACCTTTCGTTGATGGGACACGGACAGGATGCTAGCTGTCCATTTCAGAAACCCAAGGAATTTTATACGGGTTTTTATACGGGCCGTCACAAAACCTTTCGTAGTTATCACGAGCAGTCAGATGTTCCGCCAAATCTATCACGGACAGTCACAAAATCCGCCAAATCTATCACGAACCATCACACGGGTATCACCCGCCGTCACAAAAAGGCACTAATTTCTATCACGGATAGTCACACTCGAAACTTTGCTATCACAGATGAACCCTCTTATCCTTTCGCTGACGCGCCCTGAAACACTGTATAGATTTAGGGAAAATATTTCGGGTTGCTGGTTTTTGTCCTGTATACGCGACCATTTTCGGTGAGATACCCGGTTACGTTCGAATCGACGTTACACACAATATCAAACAAACGCATATAGATATTGATGGAGTTCACCTTTTAAAGTATCTTCCTCAATGTTTAATCACATGCCATTTGGTGATTTCACGCTTGTATAAAGTATGTTCTATCATTTACAAAATAGGTCTTGTGTTATTAAAAATCCTTTGCTTACCAGGCAATTATAATATGTGCAAGTCCGATACGGTATTAGGTGCATCATACAAACAATTATAACTTGCAATCATTTTTAACAATAACCTATGCTATATGATGCTAGGTAAGGCTGTTTGGTTGTTATATGATATGCAACTGATTTGATGATGTAAACAAGCGCAAGTGCGCATAACGGGTAAAGGCTTTTTTTTTCTAAGCTTGCGAGTCATATAACCATTCCACATTTTGAGTTCTTATATATTCTATCTGCTGTATAATGAAATGTAAATTGTGCGTTTCTAGTTATGGATTGTTGAACATTTTGATAAACATTTTGGCAGATTTAATAAATTGTGAACTCTAGCAATATATATATATATATGCGTTCTATTTTTTAATAAACTTTTTGTGACGGTGGGTGATACCCGTGTGATGGTTCGTGATAGATTTGGCGGATTTTGTGACTGTCCGTGATAGATTTGGCGGAACATTTGCCTGCTCGTGATAACTACGAAAAGTTTTGTGACGTCCCGTATAAAAACCCATTTTATACGGTTCTTGCATTCACGAAGCGGTTGTAAATGATTGGACGATTTTATTGGCCGCTTTGAATGTCAAGCGGTTGCGTAGGCTGGCTTGGAATGGGCTGCTGGGCTGACACGAAACATGTCATGATCCCAGTACAGTAGTCTCATAACCACCATAAGATTTAGACTACACCTAATGATAAGTTAATATGCTAATTCTTGTAGCAATTGACGTGTACTGGTATATCTTAGATACAGCCGGGCAATGACGGTATCGGTGTAGAAATGAAGTGTGATTGTAATTACATACAGCCGTGTCATTGGAACCTTCAATGGCATGGTTTCAGCTTTCAGTTTTGCACCACCAATTTGCTTTCATGCAATTCACCTCTTGCGCCACTTGCAATCTCGGCTAGTCGCATCGTAACAATCTCTTCAATAAACTCTCTCGCGATCTCCTCAAACTGAGAAGCAGCCGCTTCTGCCAATAGTATAGTAGTTGCAGCTCTTCAAATCGCGAGTAGTACCCATCCTTTAGCAACTGCCAAGCCCCGAAATGAGCCCTTTGCTCCTGCTTTGAGACACTCATCACCTGTACAATTCATCGCTTCTCCTCTTGCGCCTCTAGCCGTCTCGGCTGGTCCATTAACTCTCTCGCAATCTGCTCAAACTGAGCAGAAGCATCCTCCGCCAGTCGCTGCGAAAGCTTCTCAAACCGCGAATAAGCATCCGCCAGCAACTCTCTTGTGAGCTCATCAAACTGAACGCACGCATTCCTCACAGCAGAACCTATGGCTGCACTCAACCTCTCGCCCACCCTCTCGCCCGAAACCCCTGCATGCAAACCCCTGCCTGTTCCAGCAGTCAAACCATCACCACCACCAGTGGCTGCTGCACAATTTTCTTGGGCTGCTGCGCTATTTATGTGGGCTGCTGCGGGTTCATAGCTTCCTTCCATTCGCTCTCTCTGCTCCATCCCACCACCCCTACCACCCAGAGAGCCGCCCCCAGCAGTCAAACCATCACCACCACCAGTGCCTGCTGCGCTATTTACGAGGGCTGCTGCGCTATTCACGGGGGTTGCTGGCTGATTTACGTGGGCTGCTGAAGGCTCATAACTTCCCTCCATTCGCTCTCTCTGCTCCATCCCACCACTCGAACCACGGAGCGTGCCTGTTCCAGCAGTCAAACCATCACCACCACCAGTGCCTGCTGCGCTATTCACGTGGGCTGCTGAGCTTTTTACGTGGGCTGTTGCAGGCTCATAACTTCCTTCCATTCGCTCTCTCTGCTCCGTCCCACCACCCCTACCACCCGGTGAGCCGCCCCCAGCAGTCAAATCACCCGGTGCTGCGGCTGCCCCTTGACTCTGGGCTGATACAGGCTGGGCTGATACAGGCTGGATTGATGCAGGCTGGGCTGATGCAGGCTGGATTGATGCAGGCTGGGCTGATACAGGCTGGGCTGATACAGGCTGGGTTGATACAGGCTGGGCTGATACAGGCTGGGTTGATACAGGCTGGGCTGATACAGGCTGGATTGATGCAGGCTGGGCTGATGCAGGCTCGGTTGATACAGGCTCGGTTGATACAGGCTGGGCCGATGCAGGCTGGGCTGATGCAGGCTGGGCTGATGCAGGCTGGGCTGATGCAGGCTGGGTTGATGCAGGCTCGGTTGATGCAGGCTCGGTTGATGCAGGCTGGGTTGATGCAGGCTCGGTTGATAAAGCCTGGGTTGATACAGGCTCGGTTGATACAGGCTCGGTTAATACAGGCTGGGTTGATACAAGCTGGGCTGATGCAGGCTCATAACTTGTCGGCTGGGTGTATGTAATCAACGCAGGGACTGCAGAGTGCCAGGGGGCTGTAGCAGGCCCGGGGATTGTAGCAGGCCCAGGGGTTGTAGCAGGCCCGGGGGCTGTAGCAGGCCCGGGGGCTGTAGCAGGCAGTGAGCCGCCCCCAGCAGTCAGATTACCCGGTGCTGCGGCTGCCCCTTGACTCTGGGCTGATGCAGGCTGGGCTGATACAGGCTGGGCTGATGCAGGCTGGGCTGATGCAGGCTGGGTTGATACAGGCTGGGCTGATACAGGCTGGGCTGATGCAGGCTGGGCTGATGCAGGCTGGGCTGATACAGGCTGGGCTGATGCAGGCTGGGCTGATGCAGGCTGGGCTGATGCAGGCTGGGCTGATGCAGGCTGGGCTGATGCAGGCTGGGCTGATACAGGCTGGGCTGATGCAGGCTGGGCTGATGCAGGCTGGGCTGATGCAGGCTGGGCTGATGCAGGCTCATAACTTGTCGGCTGAAGGTATGTAATGAGCACAGGGGTTGCAGCAGACCAGGGGACTGACGAGGTCCAGGTGGTTGCTTCTGGCAGGGAGGCTGTAGCAGGCAGGGGGGCTGTAGCAGGCAGGGGGGCTGTAGCAGGCAGGGGGGCTGTAGCTGACCAGGGGGTTGTATAGGGCCAGGGAGATGTAGCAGCAGGCCAGGGGGCTGTAGCAGGCCAGGGGGTTGCAGCAGGCCCGGAAGCTGTTACGAAACAAGAGGTTGCAGCAGGCCCGGCGGCTGTAGCAGACCAGGGGGCTGTAGCAGACCAGGGGACTGCAGAGGTCCAGGTGGTTGCAGCAGGCAGGGGGCTGTAGCAGGCCCGGAAGCTGTTACGAAACAAGAGGTTGCAGCAGGCCCGGGTGCTGTAGCAGACCCGGGGGCTGTAGCAAAATAGGGGGTTGCAGCAGGCCAGGGGGCTGTTGCAAAAAAGGGGCCCGGCAGAGCGGCTGTAGCAGGGAAGGGGGCTGTAGCAGGGAAGGGGGCTGTAGCAGGGAAGGGGGCTGTAGCAGGGAAGGGGGCTGTAGCAGGGAAGGGGGCTGTAGCAGGGAAGGGGGCTGTAGCAGGGAAGGGGGCTGTAGCAGGGAAGGGGGCTGTAGCACCAGTAGCAAACGTAACTGTGTTACCAGGCATGCACTGCAGGCTGTTGTGAAATCCGCCGTATTTTCGCATCAGGTCAAAAGTTGAAGGTTCACCAGTATTTGACCCTCTTATTGCGTCAGGAACTGTAGACCCACCAGGAGCAGTGGTGCTGGGAACTTGAGTGACTTCAGCAGGATTTGACCCTCTTATTGCGTCAGGAACTGTAGACCCACCAGGAGCAGTGGTGCTGGGAACTTGAGTGACTTCAGCAGGATTTGACCCTCTTATTGCGTCAGGAACTGTAGACCCACCAGCGGGAAGCAGACCCGCTGTAGACCCACCAGGAGCAGTGCTGCTGGGAACCTGAGTGACTTTGCTGCGAAGGCTCATTAGGTAGTTATCAAGGGGTTGCCTTGAGTTAGAGGGTTGCTGTTGTTGCTGCTGCTCCTGCTGCCCCTGCTGCCTCCGCTGCTGCTGCTGCTGCTGCTGCCGCTGCTCTTCTTGTTGCTCCTCCTGCTGCGGCTGCAGCGGCTGCTGCTGCTGCCGCTGCTGCTGCTGTTGCTGCTGCTGTTGTTGATCCTCCTGTTGCTCCTGCTCCTGCCTCTGCCTTCCAGCCTCCCCCCACCCTGAACCAAAGGTCTCAGGAAATGCATAAGCTGGCATTTCAGCCGGCTGCCTCCTAGCCGCAAACACCGTACCAACAGCAACACCAGCAGACGCCCTACCGGCCCTTCTAGCCCTTTTTGCCACCCAGTGTTTCCTCGCCTGAAGCTCAATTCCATAGAACAGTCGAACGTACTCAAACCATGGTGGTTCGGTTTTATTCCCCCCTGCCCTTCCCCCATCACATGCCGGTTCTGCCCCTGGCCCCCTGCCCTTCCCCTTTCCACTCCCCTTAGGCCTTCCCCGCTTCTTTCCCCGCGCCTCCGTGTTCCCCCCTGACTCGTTAAAAGGTTGCTCGTGCTCATCCGCGTTAGTAGACCCTCCCTGCCGCGGCTCAACCGAGTCCCCCGCCTGCTGCTCCGCGCCCGCGGGAATTCCCCTCGCGGGGGACGGCGGAACCCCCGCCTGCCGCGGAACCCCCGCCTGCTGCTTCCGCCATCGTATCCGGCGCGGCGCGTCTCCGCGTCGTAGCGCGCTCTCATGCGCGCCCACTGCTTCTGCATCGCCGTCGGGACGCGCCGCCATTCGGGGTTGGCGCGCCGGATCGCGCGCCACACCTGCCGCCAGTAAACGAGGTTGCTTCTCCGCATCACCTGCCCGCTGCGCCGGCAGAAAACGACAGCCGCTGCGAGCTCCGTCAGCTCCGCATCGCTCCACTGGGACTTCCGCGTGGCGCGCGCGAGCTCTTCCAATATCTCCCATTCCTTGTCGCATCCCCGGAGCTCGTACCACGGGACCTCGAGACCACCCGGTTGCACCACGCGACCCGGTTCCCCCACGCGATCCAACTCCCCCAAGCGATCTGCCTCGGCCTCTGCGTCTGTTCCCCTCGCTCGATCCGTATGTCTGTCTCGATCCGTTTCCCTGTCTCGTTCTGGTGAGTCATACGGCCTTCCAAAACGCCCTCCGAGGTGGTACTCGTCGATATCGTACGAGTCGTCCGACTCGCCGTATCTTTCGGCGTCGATTTCGCCATCGTCGTCGCCGTCGCCGAAGTCGTCGCTAAATTCGTCGCCAAAGTCGTCGTAATCGTCGTCGCTTTCGTCGTTTTCGTCGGCGTCGCAGCAGGTTAACGCGGCAGCGTGATGCTCCTTAATCCACCGAACGAACGGAGGATCAGGTCGCACAATCGCCGCCCAATCAATTGCATTGACCGTACCGTTACCGTTACCTGTACGATCCCTAGAAGCCATGATAATTTTGGAGGGAGGCTATCGCCGAGCGAAGACTGGAAAATTGTGCTACCAGGACGTGTTCAGAATCCGTTCAAACAGCTGGTCCTGGACCAGAAAACACCAGCAGGACAAGATGCGATGTCCCTAGACTGTGTACTGGACCCTACACCTGGCTACCCATAACGGAAAATAAGACTTGTCGACAGAAGCACCTTGGGGAATAAGACTTGTGGCAGGCAGGTTTATCTCGGCAAGTTTTAGACAAACGATCGTTTCAGTTCGGTTCTGGAAATATCCAGAATGGTTGTACAGGGTTTGGCGTTGGTACGGATGCGAGGCAGCCTGTCCTGTCAGGAGTTCCCAATGGTGGCTCTTGCTGACTGGGATTCTTGACTTGTTCCTGAACCCACTTCCAACATGAATACTGTAGCACGCAGCCAGCAGAAACAGAGTCAGATAAAACAATCAACCAGCGTCAACGAAAGACTAACACCGCAGGTTGACGATTTGCGATTTCGCAAATCACTTTAGTGGCGCTGGAAACCTAGGCTGTGGCTGGCGAAGGCAGCAACGATAGCTACGGAAGCGTAGTCGGTTACATTGTCTCCTGTCCATCTTTGTCTGTCCGTCCAACCAACATTGGGGTTGTTCGCAGGACAGGACTCAGCCTTGAAGTTCACACGGGATTCAAGTGTCAGCCTGATCGCCAATATCGATCTAGCCACCGTACTATATACCTTCTTTATGCTTATGAAACTTACAGAAACGGTTTGAACCCTGGAAAACGACTCTCTGCACAATCATTCAACATCACCGCTTTGTTTACTGGAGCCGCAGTGAATTCCAAAACGTTAGGGGTAAAAAGCTGAGACTCATGGTACTGTGAAATTTGTTGAAATCTGTAGAGTCCCAAGTGAGCCTCTCGCTCCTGCTTCAACATAGCCCATCACATGTCCTATTCACCTCCTCTTGCGCCTCTTGCCATCTCGGCAAGCCGCTGCAGTCTCCTCCATTAATTCTCTCGCAATCTCCTCAAACTGAGCAGAAGCATCTTCTGCCAGTCGTTGTGATAGCTCCTCAAATCGCGAGTAAGCATCCTGCAGCAACTCCCGAGTCAGCCCATCAAACTGAACGCACGCGTTTCTCACAGCAGCACCCATGGCTGCACTCAACCTCTCGCCCAACTTCTCGCCCCCCCTCTCACCCAAAGCCCCTGCATTCGAGTCCTTTCCACGTCGTGTAGACCTCTCCATTCCTCTCCTTGCTGATTTGGCCTCTCCATTTCTCTCGTTCCGCTCTTGCGGCTCCCTTCTACGACCCCTTTCATGCAGTGAACCCCCCCGAGAAGCCAAATCACTCGATGCTGCTGCTGCTGCTGCTGCTGCTGCTGTGCCTTGTCTGTGGGCTGTTGCCGGTTCAGTAAGGGGAGCTGTAGCAGGCAGGTGGGCTGTAGCGGGCAGGGGGGCTGTAGCGGGCAGGGGGTCTGTATGGGCCATACCAGGCAGGGGGGCTGTAGCACCTGTAGTATACGTAACCCCATTCCCAGAAAATTCACTCGAGCGGAGCATGCTGCTGTCATATCCACCGTTGTTTCGGACTAAGTCAGAATCTGACGGGCCACCATGTCTTTGCATCGAGTCAGGAAGTGTAGACGCACCGAGACCTGTGACTTTGGGAGCTTGAGTGACTTTGCTGCGAAGGCTTTGCAAGTAGTTGTCAGAGGGTTGCCCCTCAAGTGCAACGGGAGAGACAGTGGGTGGCAATGCTGCTGGTAGAGGAAGGATTGCAGCGGGTGAAGAGAACGGTGCAAATGGTAAAGGAAATTGCGATGGTGATGGAAATGAGAGTGGTGGGGAATCGCTAATCCCCTGCTTCTGCTGCAGCTGCTGCTGTTGTTGTTGTTGCTGCTGCTGCTGCTGCTGCTGCGGCTCCTGCTGCTGCCTTCCCATCTCTCCCCACCTTGAACCAATGCTGTCAGGAAACGCATAAGCCGGCATTTCAGCCGGTTGCTTCCTTGCCGTAAACCCCGCAGCAATAGCAGCATACGCTCTAGCTGCTCTTCTAGCCTCTTTTCCTGCCACTTTCTTCCTCACCTCAAGCTCAGTCCCGTTGAACAAACGAATGTACTCAAACCATGCTGGTTCTGTCCTAGTCCCCCTATCCTTCCGGCTCCCCTTAGGCCTTCCCCTCACTTTTGCCCGCGCCCCTGCGTTCCCGCCTGACTCGTTATTAGGTAGCTCATCATCCGCGTTAGTAGCCCCTCCCTGCCGCTTCCTCCGCCGCTTCCGCTTCCGCCGCAGGTCGCGCATCTCCTGGTCGTAACGCGTGTTCATGCGCTCCCACTGCTTCGCCATCGCCGTCGGAACGCGCCGCCATTCGGGGTTCCCGCGCCGGATCAAGCGCCACACCTGCGAATGGGGAAGGGGAGGGGAAGGGGAAGGGGAAGGTGGATGAAGAGGAGAGCTGGGCAGGCAGAGGTTGCCGGGACGCGCCGCCATTCGGGGTTCCCGCGCCGGATCAAGCGCCACACCTGCCGCCCACCAGTACACGTGACAACAAAATTTTCTTTGAAAAATGAATATATATATAAAAAAAGGAAGTGTAGGCATTTACAATGTTTCCTGAACTTGCTGCCACTTAAAACGAATGCTCCTAAAACGGGTTCGACCCCGCCGAATCACGCGCCGCACCTGTAGCCAGTAATCGTGCCCCTTGCCGTAACTCCGCCGCGTCACCTCCGCGCTGCGCCGGCAGAAAACGACAGCCGCTGCGAGCTCCATCAGCTCCGCATCGCTCCAAAGGCTCCTTCGCGACGCGAGCTCCTCCATTATCTCGTCTTCATTCTCGCATCCCCGGAGTTCGTACCAAGGGACCTCGAGACCACCCGGTTCTCCCACGCGACCCGGTTGCTCCACGCGACTCGGTTCCTCCACGCGACCCGGTTCTTCCACGCGATCCGTTTCGGCCTCTGCATCCGTTTCCCTGTCTCGATCCGTTTCTCTGTCTCGATCCGTTTCCCTGTCTCGACCCGTTTCTTTGTCTCGATCCGTTTCCCTGTCTCGAAACGTGTCTTCTGTTGAGTCATACGGCCTTCCGAACCGCCCTCCGAGGTACTCGTCGATATCGTACGAGTCGTCCGACTCGCCGTCGTTTTCGGCGCCGCTTTCGCCATCGTCGTCGCTCTCGCCATCGTCGTCGCTTTCGCCATCGTCGTCGCTCAAGTCGTCGTCAAGGTCGTCGCTAACGTCGTCGTCGTCTCCGTCGTCGGCGTCGCTTTCGTCGTTTTCGTCGGCGTCGCAGCGGGTTAACGCGGCAGAGTGATGCTCCTTAATCCACCGAACGAAAGGAGGATCGGGTCGTTCAGTCGTCGCCCAATCGGCTTCCGTGCTCGCCTGGCCTGGTATCCCGTTACCTGTACGATGCCTAGAAGCCATGATAATTTCTAAATAGAGCCTATCGCCGCGCAGCGGCGGGAAAGAGTGCTGCCAGGACGCGTTCAGAGTTAGTTTAACAAGCTGGATATGGACCAGAAATGACCCTAGGTCTTGTCCTTACAGGGTACACCTGTTCTCCGGTATTTCCACACCCCCTACCCTCGTTTTTGCCAGACACCCTATACGGCTTGAGGATCGATGAGACGGACACCCTGACACTACGGGTCTATCAGTAAAGAACCGTCAGCGTTCTGGCTATTCGAAACTCAAATTTGTAATCAGAGTGAGCGGGCAAAATTCTTAGTGCCTTAAAGCTAGAGTGTTAAACTCTCATTGAGGTCGTGTCTTCCTACCCTCGAAACTCCCACGATCGTTTCTAACTACCTTCGAAATAAGACTTTTTCGAGGGTAGGTACCCCAGGGCGTGAAGATAGGGGGTGTGGAATTATCGCAGGATAGGTGTAACCAGTCAGGGAGGTCCGGCTAGGAAATCGCGATGTCCCTAGACTGTTAGCTGGACTCTCGGTCTGTCCTACCTATGACAGACATGAAGACCGATTGACAGTTCCAAAGAACTGATTGTTTCAGATCGGTTTTGTAGTTTAACAGAACGGTTGAAAAGGGTTAGGCGCTGGTACAGTAAGATGTCGAGCAGGTATGCATCCTGCCCTCCTGTCCCGTCCCAAGCAGCTCTGGCTGACACCACGACTGACGTTCCCGCTTGTCTTGCAGCACTGAAAATCGTAGTTTGCGGTCAGCGGGGAAATATAATCCGGGTCAGGCAAAAAATCCAACAGTGTCAACGAAAACGAGACACCACGTATCCAACAGCGTCAACGAAAAGAGACACCACATATTGACGATTTTTTAGTTTCGCGAGTCTCTCACAGCAGCTCTATTAACCGAGATGGTAACCGACGAAGGCACACACGGGAAACGGAAAACTGTCGCATCCCTGCTCGGTTGCTGATTGGGGTTTTGCGTGAAGGTACCTGCCCGCTTATTATGAGCAGAGTACAGAAAATAGTTCTGACACAGGACGTCCCTTGCGGGCAGTTGTCTTGACACAGTAGGTGATGGCTGTGTCAGCCGGAGACAAGCCCACGAAGGGGGTTGTTTGTCAAGCAGGGGATTGTTTGTTTCAGGAATCTCGGTGTGGGGTGAAGTGAATGGATAGGATACGCGGTAGAGATTGATTTTGTTAAGTGACTCTAAGTGACTTGTGCGCTTATGTTCATTTTTTTTAGGGGGGGGGGGGGGGGGGGGGGGGGGGGGGGGGGAGGGCGCTTGTAATTGAGTAACGGCCATAAGCGCCGGCGCCTTTATATTATGACGAATACGAAATTATATATTTAGAGCACCAAATTGTTCATTTTCTTCTTGCCATTTCAACCGAGTCGAAATGTTTTAGCGTCACAAACAGGCTCTACGTTATCAGAAAATTTTCCCTGAAATTCCTGGTTTACAGGGTTTTTTTTTTTTTTTTACCAACCCTGAATTTCCAGTGTTCAGCTTTTCCTGGGGCTGATTTTTCAGCCTTCACATGCCACATGACTCTGAACTTTCAGCAATTTTTTTTTTCCGTGACACTGATGCCTTTAAGTTGTAACGAGTTCGACCCTGAAAGCGAATTCTTCAAGGTCCGAGTGTACTTGACCGGAAGTGAAGGGAGAATCAGATTCCCGCGGTGTTGGCAGGTGTCACAATAACTAGGCAAGAATGAATGAACTAGCAGAAGTTTGGGTACAAATATGAAACCCTAGTTGGGGTTGTACCCCATATTGGCTACCCCACTACAGCCTACAAGCATAATACAGTTTAACACACCCCCATAGGCAAAGTGGGGGAGAACAAAGGGTCACAAGACCAGTCCAGCAAAGCAAAGCAAAGCCCAGGGTGGATCACAACGTCACCACACTCCGAGCACAAGTAAAGGCCACAAGGCCAGTTCACATGCAGTGCTAGATATAGTACAAGACAAGCAACACAGTGATCAAAACCTAGCAAGCAAGCAACAAGATATATATAAAGTACAGTACAAAGAATGTCAAGCAGTGAGCAAGTGAGGAAACGTGGACACAAGGCCTAAAGAAGTACAGTGCCGCTGATGATCACTAGGCGGGAGCGCCTTGGTGAAGATATCAGCAGTGTTGGCCTTCGAGTCCACGTACACAAGCCGAAGCTGACCGCGCTGCTGAAGCTCTCGAGCAAGAAAGTAGCGAAGAGCAATGTGCTTCGTCCTATGCTCCAGTCTGTGCTCCTGACACAAGGCAAGAGCCGCCTTGTTGTCACCGTACAGAACTGGAGGAGAACTAGGCCGCTCTCCCAAGTCAGTCAGCAGGTAGGTGAGCCAGCGTAACTCCTGTGCAGCCATGGCTGTGGCGTAGATCTCAGCCTCACAACTAGAGCCGAGAACAGAGGAAGAGCGGGTGGACCGCCACGAGACAGAACCAGAGCCAAGGCTGAAGGTGTAACCCTGTGACGACCGCTGTGTAGCCAGGTCGTCCACCCAAGAAGCGTCCGAGTGACCAGTGAGGACAACTCTGTCGTGTCCTCCAAGCACCAGCCCCATGCCTGATGTACTGCACAAGTAACGCAGCACCCTCTTAGCCGCCTCCCAGTGCTCTCGCCTGTGTCTCCCAGGCGCAACGTAACGAGCAAGGATGCTAAGAGGGTACGCGAGGTCAGGTCGCGTGCAAGTCATCAGGTACATGAGGCAGCCTACAAGCTCTGGGTATGGGCCACTCGGCTCTACGGACTCGTCCGAAGGTGGAGCTGAGAGCGAGTGGCTGGTAGCCAGAGGTGTGGCCTGTGGTGAGGAGAACTGGAAGCCGAAGCGCTGAAGGACCTGCTGCACCATGTGTGACTGAGTCAGGGTGATGGTGCGGCGAGCTCTGTCCCGGGTGATCTGCAAGCCAAGGTAGCTACGCAGTTCACCCAGGTCAGTGCAGGTGTGTCTCTTCTGCAGCTCCGACTTCACACGAGCGAGTGCCTCAGTGTCAGCAGTAGCAAAGACCAAGTCGTCGACGTACACAAGAATGTAGAACGGCGGCAGCGACGTGTCTGTGCGCAGAAACAGCGACGGGTCAGCAGTAGACGGCGCGAACCCAAGAGCCGCAAGTGTAGTCCTCAGTGTGTCGTGCCACTCACGTGGCGCCTAGCGGAGACCGTAGACTGGCCGGCGGAGGCTCCACTGGGTACCAGGAGGAAACGACCCAGTAAAGCCAGGTGGGCGGCGCAGCCAGATCTCCTCGTGCAGGCTGCCCTGCAGGAACGCTGTGCTGAAGTCAAGAGAGTGAAGCTCGTAGTCACGCTGAGCAGCAACGTGCAGCAGAACCCGAAGAGTGGTCATCTTCGGGGTGGGGGAGAAGGTCTGGAAGAAGTCGACCCCCTGACGCTGACTGAAGCCTCTAGCAACGTAACGAGCCTTGAAGACAGGCGGAGAACCTGGCGGCCGCTTCACCCTGAAAATCCACATGCCATCGACGATGTTCGCCCCAGGAGGGGGAACCTCGTCGACGTAGGTGCCTGTGGACTTCCAGGATGCCATCTCTGCGTCCATGGCTGTCTGCCACTGAGAGGAGTAGGGACCCGAGATCGCCTCTGCGTAAGTGCGCGGAGTGGGGATGTCTAGTGCATCCGGGTCTCCCTCAGGGGCAAGCAACCAGGCCACGAGATGAGGTACAGCAGCCGCAAGAGAGTCAAAGTCCTCCTGCCTGTCCTCAAGGACGTCCGTGCCAAGAGCACTCTCACCCCCGACGGACGGAGGACAGACAGACGCAGACTCAGGCTCAGCAACAAGGCTAGCAGCGTAGTCTAGACGACAGGCAGCAGCAAAGTCAACCAACTCAGCGACCAGAGCAGACGCAGCAGAGGACTCAAAGGTAGGGTCAGTGACAACAGTAGCTAGGAGACGCGTGACTGTAGGGTGCTCAGCGCGATACCGGTCAGACTCAGGGTCCGGAACGGCAGGCAAAGAGGACGCAGGAGGAGACGGTAGAGGGACACGCCGAGGAGCAGTAGAGGGACGCAGAGTCATGTAGTGCGTGCCTGGGACAGGAGGAGGACGCTCACGACGGACACGACTACCAGCGCGAGCAGGACGAACAGGCGACGCAGGACGAGACTCAGGCTCACGACGCTCTGTAAGACCTCCTGTGGGACCAGTGTAAGGAGAGGGAGCAGGGAGAGGCGAGACAGGCGGTAACTGTGACTGCGGCTGGACAGGCGGAGGACACTCTACGGAGGGAGGAGGACAAGGAGGAGGAGCCTGCCCAAGAACCTGCTGAAGGAGCGGGACGAAGTACGGTCGCGGCCGCGCAGCGTCTCCAGAAGCAGAAGAGACTCCAGCGGCCGGGTCCTCAGCACCAGCAGGAGCTCCAACGGCCGGGTCCCCAGCACCAGCAGCAGCGCCACCGCTCAGGTCCTCAGCTCCAGCAGCAGCTCCACCAGGCGGGTCCGCAGCACCAGCAGCAGCGCCACCCCCAGAGTCGGCAGCTCCAACTCCGCTAGCACCGCCAGCGCCAGGGTCCCCAGCTCCAGCAGCTCCAGTCGCAGTGCTCCCAGAACAACCAGTCCCGGCAGCTCTAGTACCCCCAGTACGAGCACCCCCAGGACGAGCAGCCCCAGCACCCCCAACTCCAGCCGAGCCACTAGGACGGCGAAAGCGCCGGACGTACCAGTCACGAAGCTGCTGCGGTGTGAGAGACTGCTCAGCACCCCGAACCGGAGCACCCCCAGACACAGTAACCCGAGGCTCCGTAGGCTCAGTAGCAGCACCCCCAGGCGCAGTACCCGCAGCCTCAGTACTCGCAGGCTCAGCACCCCCAGACTCAGTACCCCCAGACTCCGCACACGCAGGCTCAGCACCCCCAGTCGCAGCACCCCCAGGCTCAGCACCCCCAGGCGGCAAACTCTCAGGCACAGTACCCTCAGCTCCAGCACCCGCAGTCCCAGCACTCCCAGGCCCAGCACCCGCAGGCTCAGCACCCCCAGGCTCA